CTGATGTGCAGAGGTGAGGTCCAATCGTGTCCCAGAAACTAGTGTAGAAATTAACACTTAAGCCATCAGGTCTAGGGGAACTATTAGGTTTCATGCTAAAGAGGGTGTTCTTAATTTCCTCCTCATCTAAGATCTTATAGAGCATGTCATTTTAAGCATGAGAGATACTATGCAATATGTACTCTATGATTTTCTCATTTACCTCTACATTACTTAACTTTAGTAACTCTTCAAAATTCTTTACTTGCCTAAATCATTTTTCTTCCATCATTCTCATATTCCTTCAATAACTCTTGTGTGAGAGACTAGTGCTTTCTCAATTTTATAGTGGAATGGAAGAACTTTGTGTTTTGATCTCTTTCAACCATTTTATTCTAGCTTTTTGCCACCAAAAGATCTCTTGTTAGACTAATGTTTCCTCAAACACACCTTGTTTCCGTGAGCTGTCTTTATATATTATCATCTCATCTCTCCTATAATTTGTCTTTCAGTCATTCAATTTCTTTTTCCTTGATATCTAACTTTAGATGAATGTCTCAACAAACATGTCTATTCCACCATCTCAAATGTTGTTTTATGTTTCTAATTTGGGATGATAAATTAATCATTGGGCAATAAGAGATCGAGCCTCCTCATCTCTACCTAACAAAATATCAAAATCTCTCATGCCTAGTCCATATGTTTTGGAATCTAAAGGAGGAACCTCTCAATTAGAGGCACTTTCATACCTCAATTAGTATGGACAAGTGGTCTGAATTGGTCCGGGGCAAGTATAGAAGATTTATGAGATTCAGCTATAGACATTTGGTGTTGACTAGGGATATATCAAAAAGTTGATAAATACATAGGTGTCCCTTAAAATCATTGTACCATGGCATGAGGTTGCCATAGTGTGCTGGTTCCACCGGCCCTTGGCCCTAGATGAAATCATTAAATTCATCCCTCAAGCTACATATTGCCCTAGAGCCTCCAATTTTTTCAAACCCAAGTCTGATAATGTTGAAATCTTCGGTTATGACCCATGGGGTACTAGGGGGAATGTGCATATCCCTCAAAGATTGTCATAACATGTCTCATGGTCCCTTCATCTGATGCATATATGATTGGGAACATTAAGTCTACTTCATCCCTAAATACGAACATAGATGTAGACTGATCTGTGTGACATATATGATTCATAGATAAATTTTTCACCCAAAATAACCAGATCTTGGTTATCGAGTTACACCAGATATTGTCTAAACTTATTACTCATCTAATATTTTTTGCTTTTGTAGTAGAAATCATAAGTTGTAGAATTTTTAAAATCTCTACCTTATGTTTGTTAATTAGTTTCCTAATTCTACTTTTGGTTGGCATATTCTCAATCTCCCTACAGTTCCAGACTAGTGTACTAATCATCACTCATTGGCTTATATTGAGTATGTAATCGACTCAACCTCTCTAGTCTTTACACTTCATGTGTGGTTTTTTCCTATTTAAAGTGCATTGAGTGGTCTATTCTACTTTGTGTACTTTTCTCTTCGGAGAAGGCATTCCTAAATGTCTTCACCCATCTATTTTTTTCATTGCTCCATTGCTCCAAAGAACATCTTTTGATACTTGAAATTTCCCCTCTTATCTCACTTAGTCTCCCTCTCTATACCTTACCCTTCAAACTCCCTATTCCCTTTCCCTTCCCCCCTACTAACTTTGAGGTCCCTAAGCCTAGGCGGGCTGACCTCACCTTAGGGGGGTCCTAGTAGTCCGAGTCATCCGTTCCCACCTCCCCTTCTGACTCCACCTCCCTCTCTCCACCATAGTTTTGTAACCTTGTGTCCCACTCCTCCATCTCTTCCCCTACTTTACTACTAAGTTGAGAGGACCTTTTCATGGGCCCTCTCTTAATAAGGGAATTCCTCTCCTTCAACTTCAAGGTGGATTCCTCTTACTCTACTTCCAAGCAATCATCTTCTCAATCATCAAGGAAGAGGGAATCACCCATATTAGCCTCTACTTGTAGAGATACATCCATTTGTTCCTTTATACCTCTAGATTCTCTAAGGCCTTTTTCTATGACCTCCCTCTTAACTCTCTGTCTACCTCCTTTCTTTCCCATATGTCCTCCTATGGCTGATTGGTTAGATCTTACCATATGGTGTTTTATGCAGGAGTGCTGATTGTGCTCTACAACTCACATGGCCCCCTGACTCCAGCCAAGTGTACATGTTAATCATAATGAATTGTTGGTTTGAAGCCTTGGGTTGCCCTAGCCTAGAGGATTCCTAGTCTAATTCTCATGTGATAGGGGCTGCCTCTATTGAAGTATTTACATCTTTACTATTCCTAAGAGTTGGGGCATGTGAGGGTGATCTTTGGGGACTAGTATCTTGTGGTACAAGATTGTCCTTATCTAGAGACATTCCCCTACAGGGGGGGAGTAGACAACTGAGAAAGTATCCATTTACCCTTGTTTGCTCTCCTCTCACCAGATCTCTCATGTTTTACTACTGTGCAGGTT